AGAAGCAGCCTTTGGCCATGATCTGTAGCATGAGAAGGCACTAAAGGAAGGAAGAGATCATGAACACAAAGGGGAGTAGTGAGTTTGTAGGAAATAATGGCAGAGATGTATCTGCGAACAAGACTTAAGCAAGAGGCTGAAGGTTAGAGTGGAGAACAGCTTGGTGGTCTGAAGTAAGAGACAGTAAAATGGTTGAAGGAGCTGGAATATATGGACTTGGGCAGAAGCAAAAAATGCTTTAACGAAGGGACTTGGTCTAAATTGGAGAGGAGGAGGTAAGAAGAAGAAATAGCTGGCAAGTTAAAGTCCGGTGTCCTGGTACAGAAGCAGCAAGAGTAGAGCATTAGTGGTGGCAGTGGGTGAATGAGAGAAGCACGGATGACTGTGAAGTAGTGTTTTGGTTACAGGACAGTTATCTTTCTATTGCCAGCTGCTGTGCTCTGTGCTTTTAAGCCAAATTGCAGTTAAGAATGGTTAGTGTCAGTGAAAGTCTCTTTTGCCCCGTGGAAACAGCTTGCCCCAAGCCAGGGGTGGAAAAGGCTGGTCCTCCCCGGCGCAGAGCCTGGCCGGAGTGAGCGCTGCGCCCTTGGGGGCTGCGATGTGCCAGCACGAGGTGGAGTGTTGTGGGGCCTGCTGTGGGCTCTGCCCCCAGTTCTCTGCTGTTGTCGCAGGGTTTGGGCTGGCTTGGGTTCATTTCTAGAGCCAGAGTCGAGAAATGCCTTAACCTTGTCTTCTGGTTGAACTCGTGAGACGCGGGAGGTGTGGGGAGGTCTTTTGAAACCCTGGCCGATAGCTTCTGCAAGGTGTAACCCGAACAAAATGAAGCAGCTGGCTACGTTTAGTTAGTGAGTCGTACCCCGGGGAGGGGGGGAGAAGTTGACATCAGAAAAGTCACTGCTAATTCTCTTTGTCTCTTGTGTTATCTGTTCTGCTGGCTTTTTTGACTGCTTAGTTCATGTTAAACCAGTTCTTCTGTGTCTCTGCTTCTGCCGTATTGTGCCTTTGAGCATATTCTTCCTCCAGTATGGAACAGGATTTTTGTCTTCTGCCCAGCACAGCTGTAGTGTCTCTGAGGTGTGAATGCACGCACACGCGCACACGCACACACGCACGCGCACACGCGCGCGCACACACACACACACACACACACGTTGATCCCATTCTCCTTTTGTCTGGTGCTGAGACACAGAATCGGCAAAAGCTGCGGGACCGCTCCCGAGATGAGTGGCGGCTCTGCTCGCCTTCCATGTCCTGACATGGATGAGAGCCTCGGAGGGAAGAGAGCGCAACATCTCATGAGTGTAGCTGTGTCCCCTGGCTTGCTCAGAGCTTTCTGTGTGCCTGAGGACTCTGCAGGTGTCTTCACTGAATCGAGTTGAAGAGTTACTTGGCGAATGGTTTTATATGCAGATTTTATTCAGGGTCTGGGTGGTGGCTCCATCAGTTGACTACTGTGTAAATTTGATCTCTTCTTGTGTGTGTGTGTCCAGTATCAATGTTGTATGTTAAGAAGAAGCCTTTTGACAAAATGCATTTTGGAAAGAGATGTTCTGTTACTGCATCTGTACAAACAGATCGCAATTACTAGATTTTGGTGGCTGTAATGGGAAGAGGAAGACTTGGCCCCAACCTGTTAAGGATCAAAAGCTTCACCTGCATTTCTTTTAAAGCTTTAGCAATAAATATGAGAGTGAAAAGGAGCCAGGAGCACTTACTTAGGGTAACGGTCTGAGAGACATTTCCCTGCAGGTCAAGGTGGACAGCTGTGAAAAAGCTCAATGCAAGGAAGTTTTTTTTGTATGAGCCCCTGCATTGCTTGACTGATGATACAAAACCCCTCTTCTGGTGTATGTTACCTTTTATTCTTCTCTTTTTTGTTTTCTCTCAGCTAGACCTTCGTGAGCTATGGACACCATAAATGGTACTGGATTTGGATAGATAATAGCACAAACTGTCAGTGTGATCTCATTCTGCACCTGCACATCAAAACCAAATCAAATTAGATTAAATTATGAAGTATTTTGTTTCTTTAATCTGTGCAAAAACTAAGGAAACTTTTACCTGCCCATCGTGATGCTGTACACCAATGTACTGCTCAGGTATTTTTCTTAGGCAAAGGGCAGTTGAGGTGGCAGGCTTAAAGGCAAACCAACCCAGCTTCTGCTTTGTCCTTCCGGTGGGGGTACCTTGACACATGTCCCTTCTGTTAATCCCCTGACAGCTTCCAAGAGACGGATGCAAATAACCGTGCCAGGCTTTGATTGTGAGATACCGCACTGCCACTTCTTCTCTTTGTCTCCTGCAGTTTACAGAGGCGGCTTCAGTGCATAATTCAATCCCTGTTCTGGGGACTGCAGCAAATCCACAGAGATTTCTACCAACCGTCCTCTCTGGCATCAGAACAACATGTGTGCTTCGTCTTTGATGTGAATTCCCCAACCAGAGCCTTAGAAGGACCTGTAGCTTTGAAGCTGGCCTATAAATTGTGCTTTCAGGAGTCAAGTTGTCAGCCTCCTCTTCAGGAAGAAAGGGAGAGTAAACTGTAAAGCAGTTGCATAAAGCTACAGGGCAATTTACAGATCTGCTTTTCTTGGCCTCGAATAATCCCTGTATGATGTTGAGAATCCCTTTTTACCTGGCTCAGAAGCATCCTCTCTTGTGACTGGAGGACCTTGTGGGCAGTAGGGCTGTGATGGTGCTCAGCTTCAGGCATTCACTGTTCCGAGGCAAATGGAAGGGGAACTGGTGCACCGGGGCTTTTGACCTGTTCAAGTGTTTTCAGTCTCCCAAAGCCAAATGCTGATAGTGCACCTGCATTGCCCTTTCTGTGGGTAAATTTTCAGTCTGGTTTAGAAACGGGCGAGACCTTTCACCAGATGCAGTGGTTGTTCTGTGACAGATCTAACTTTGGTCGGTTGTCTCCTCAGTCAGGTAGGAGTATGGGCAGACTTCTGCCTTTCTGTTGAGATGGAAATAAGCTGGTCTTTGAATCGAGGCGTTCCAGTGGCCAAATCTTGTTTGAAAAGAGAAATGCAGTTGCCTTTTTTATGGTTCGGTGTCTGCTTGTGTTCTGCTGTCACCTCTGGGAGCTCCTTCCATACCAATCTGAGAAAGCCAAGGTCTGACTAGAGTCAGCCGAGACACCAACCTTTAGTTTTCCTGTGTTCTCTGTCTCCAATGAGAGCTGAAACCATCCTGCTACTATCCCTGCCACTGCTGCTGATGCTATTGTACCAAACGTGGCTAAACTGACTCCTGAATTAAAACATGTACTGCGCAAGCTACACTGAACTAAATCAGCCTTTCTCAATAGCTATGGTGAAGCTTCTTGGGCTGCTTCATAGATCAATCTGCAAGGTCTTAATAATACGTTTATAAATGTTACACAGAACCAGATGTGATTGCGTAGAACTCTTCCTGTTTTGAGCAGGTGAGTCTTAGGTCAGCATCAGAAGTGAGTTGCACTGAACCTCATCAGATGTTCACGATACTACGTGTCATATGTCTGGGGAATGGAAGTTGTGTTGGGTTATTTCCCCACCTCCCCACCCCCCGGTAAGAGCTGTTACCAGAACAGTTTAATTTCAGTTTATTTTTTATCCTTGTGTGGTTTATTTATTTGTATTTGGAACTGATGGCCAAACTTGTTTTACGAGGCAGGAGGCTGTAATCGGTTCAGGGCAGAGCCCCCGATGGTGCTCATGGTGGCAGCCTGTGCTGTTGGCCAGCCAGATCTGCTTTTCCTGGGCCTTCCCGGGTTGGCTGCACTGCAGAGGAAAGCCTTCTGGCGAGGTCTCACCGTGCCCTTCCTTTGAGGCTAGTGGGAGAGCAGCAGGGCCCTCTGCCCAGGAGGGTGGGTCTGCAGCCATGGATTCTGCCACCTTCTGAAGATAAGTCTCTGTCCAGATGTGTGCCGATGGGCAAGTCCAGAGAGCTGCGTGGATGCTGGGCGGCTGCGGAGGGTCAGGCTGTGAGAGCAGCACCGGATTCAGTGCTGGCACAGGGGAGGCAGAGAGGTCGGTGTGTATGCAGCCCTTTGCAGCCTACACTTTAATTTTGTAATTGCACTCCAGGCAACGAACAGCCAGCAGTCACATCTAAAAGAATTTTAACAGTGAAATGCTGGTTCAAGTGTAGCTTGAGTGTCCAAATAGGAAAAAACTAGTACTGGTCTATTAGGAAAGTTAACCAGCTGATCTTTCGGGGAGGGCCTCTATCTCTTTCTAATGGAGCAGCTTTCCTAAGTCATGGTGAGATTTTCTTTCTTTACAATGTACAAGCAACTTCAATTTTTATCTACATATTAGAAGCTTCCAGTATTGGGAAAACAAAAAAAATCCATACAAATCAAGTACCCATCACTGAGTGTAAGTGGCTGCTGTAATGTTGTTCTTAAAACTGAAAGACTTTTTTGAAAAATTTTGTATTAAATGCAAATATAGTAAAAGAGATTAATCAAAATCTGCTCAGTTTTTATTTACAATCATTATTACTTTTATTTTTTCCATATTGTAACTTATTCCAAGTCCTCCCCCAATAACTGATGCTGCAATGGTTACGTTCAATAAACCTACACACAGGTAGTACACACCGCTGTTTTCCTGTAAGCCAGCTGGCTTGCAGATGTTCTCTCCACGTCAGTAACTGCATACAGCCATGGAAGATTCTCCCCCAGCACCTGGAGGGTTTCTTGAAACACCGTAGTGGCACAGTGAGGCTGTACTCGAGGTACAGATCACGTGTTCTGTTCTCCCAGCAAGGAGAGGCAGTTGATCTGTCTGATGTACTGAGAGGAAAAAAAGGCTAAAAAGTTCTGGTGTTTTATTAATTACTTGAATACAATAAACTATACATTTGCTTAAGTCCTGCTGGAAGGAGTTACTGGAACTCCCGACTCCTCAAGCATATCAACTTTACTTGAGAGGTACAGCCTTTTTGTGAAAACTGACTCAGATCTCCAAGTGATGCATGTATGGGACAAGAGAAGAAGGGCTTGTGTGCTTAACTTCGTGTTTTGTATTTAAAAAAAGCTATAAATGATTTGTATATCCTTTTCTTTATCAACGTATATTTTCTCTTTCAAAATAAACTGGTTTCTTTGGGAGGAGTTATTTTTAGTAACAGCTCAGTGCTATAACCAAGAGCCAGTAATTCAAAAATCACTCTTTTCTACTGAAAGATGTTAAGAACTACAGGTTGTCCCCCTCATTATAAAGCCAAAGCAGCAACTGGAGCCTTCTGTTGTATTACATTTCTAAAACATCTTCTCCCTTGCAACTGCGGCAGGACTTCAAATGGATTAACAGTCGCAAGAGTGAGTGATTTCTCCTCTTAGTCCTGTCAACTCTAGCATCTACAGACAAGATCACTGTTTAAAGCTCTAGTACATCACAGAATAGTGCTGATATTGGTATTTTACAACTAACGCAACATCCAGTAATTCACATGTAATCTTAATAGTTAAAAATTCAAGACCAGGGTACTAACTAAAGAAACCACTAACATGAAGTCTCCTTATCTGGCACGGAGTAAGAGGGGAGGGATAGTTTAGATAACATTGCAGAGATTGGGCAGGGACAAAAAGAATTTATTTCTCCATCCAGTATTTCGTACACTTTACAAAAACCAGTAATATCACTGTGCCCATAAAAACGTTATTCATGGCAACAGAAAGCAAATACTACTTTTTTGTCATCTAATGGGGTCTTTTTAAAATCATAATACAAAGATCTGTGCTGTAGCAGTCCTCCACTTTGCACTGTAACAATAAGGCTTACTGTATTTTAAATACAAAGCTGTTACACCTGGAGTTATGAACCACTGGCTTTAACAAACATCATTTTATAGTTGCTTTTTGCTTCTTTTTTGTTCTCTGGAACCTCAGCTTCATCGTGTTTTTCGGCAGCCTGTAGCTCCTCTGCAGACTCCTCTTGCTCTGACTCAGAGCCACTGTCGGAGTCGTCTGAACTCTCTTCAGAGGAGTGTCCACCTGCCTCCTCTTGGTCATCACCTTCCTGAAACTAGAAGTTGAGATTATCAGACAGATAAACCATTATTTCCTGGTAACTCCATTGCAGCTTTCAAGATTTCCCAGTGAGAATGTTTTGTTTAATGGTGCCTGTCATTTTAGTGCTACAACGGGCTCTGTTGCTGAACACAGGTCTTCAATATACAAGTTATTAGACAGAAAGCAACTCCACTGAAGCAGTCAACTGTACCAACCGCGACATCTGTGGTTTCATCAGCCACGTTCTTATTTAGTTACAGCAGAAATCCTAAAGACACCATTAAATGAGTTTGAAAAGTTTCACATCACATCAGTTCAGTAATTTCTTACTTTGGTGTACACAGTACATAATGACACTTGAGTATTTGTCATGGAATGAAATATAATTAAACTAATGGCTAGACCATTAATAAATCACATTCATGGCTGATCTTTGGAAGTAAGTTTAGCACACTGCAGCATGAGGAATGCTGAAGTAATCCAGTGATACTGCTAACAAGAACAATCCCAAAATGGCATCTTGTTCATGATCCTAAAGAGCAAAGCCTCCAGCGCTGCACAGGGGGGTTTGCTCGCTCTGGAAACATCAATTATGCTTTAATGCAGTAATTGGTGCTAGAAGTTAGCAAAAAATTAATTACTGCACCTTTGCAATTGGCAGAGGAAGACATGTTCCTAATAACCTAATTCTCTGGGTTTCTGTCATGCTTCTCTTCCTGCTTGTTCCTGTGAAATTCCTTGCAAGCACAAGACCAGTCAGGTGTCAGCTCACTGGAGGACTCTGCACAGCAATTTCCCCTCGCCCGACCCCTCCACAGCCACTTCCTTTTCGGGACCACAGAGAGCCATGTGCCCTACCGCAACAAGCAGCTAAGGCTAACGAGCTCTCAGCAACAATGCTGATGGTTATCCTGCCTTCTTACCTGTTCCTTGGCCACACCCTGATTTAATGTATTTGTCACTTTCTGTCCTAATCAGCCTTTCCTACTACAGAGCGTTAGGCACGTTGCATCCCTTTTCACAACAGTGAGAAGCATCGATCATTTCCAGGCATCTGAACGGCCACCACAGCGTACACAAACAGGGGTCAAGTGCCTGCTGTAAGCCTGTCCTTTAACCCAAACTGTGGAAGGTTGCCACTAGTTGCAGCGATTGGATTTAAGCCATGTATCGTCTTGTCTGAGTGAAGTGAAAGCCAGATCATTACGGAAACAAACAACTTACTACCTCACTGAAACCAAGTCCACAATGGCGCCGGTTTCGCCCAGACATCGTGCTGTCCATGCTCTGTTGGTACTGAGACTCCAGTTCCTCATTCATTTTCTTGTCTTCTTCCCCTGCATTGTCCAGTGGACTTTGGTTATGGTTCATTCAAATTAACAAAGACATCAAATTACATGAAGTCACATTTTCAAAGTTTATCAATATATACATGAAAAAGCTTAAATTTAGCCATCTTAAACTAATGGATTATTACTGCATACAAACCATCAGATTTATAAGCAATCGCAGCAAGTGTGCAAGCAGAATTGCTTTGATACAAAGACGGGTTGCTAAGAGCTGATGCAGAGAATTGTCCTGTGCACGGTGTATGTTCTATTAAACACGGCAAGTGTAACCCGTGTGACTTCTCTGCTTCCTGCCACTACTGCAACATGTCACAGCAAGGAGAAAGGTTCTGACCTTCAATACGTAACATGTGATTACTGTGACTAAACCAGGTTTAATACATAGCAGCAGACGTCAGGGCAACACTACCACGCTTGTTTGCGGAGCTGCACCTGAGTATTCATGCATCCTGAATTATCAGGAGTGGTTACTACAGCTCTACGGTATTTTTCCATCTTTAGGAGTTACCAGAAAGACTAATTTGCATAAGCTACTTCTACATGTCCTTTACTTACTTGTTTGAAGAAGCAGATAAAGAATCATTTTTGCTGGGGGAAAATATTGTCTAAAATAGTTAAGAATACTCTGTAAAAGGTTGCAATCTCTAATTCTCCCCCGATGGGCCTACAATGGTCTCATTTTTAATCTGTATCTCTGTAAAATTAAAAACTTGTATCGCAAATTCAAGTTTCCTCATTTGTAAGTTAGAACTGTGTTATTATAAAAGTACAATAACTGTATATTGGACAAGGAAGTAAAGTGTTAAGAAAATTCTGATTTTTTGTGAAAAAACAGCATTTTCACTTTTTGCTAATAACAAAGCAGTACTGATTTTTTATGACTCCTCAGGGGAAGCATCATCTTTTTTTCAAGGAAATTCAGACATAAGGAAGTGATTCTCAGTCACTCTGCAAGCTAACAGCAGAACCTGGAATGATCCTCAGGCTTGTTTTGGTCCAGAGATAATTTTTCATCACTGGAAAATTACTAATGGAGCATATCAGGGAAAGAAGTGTTCTGGAACTCTGGCAGTTGCTATTTGATACAGTTTTATCAAAGCTTTTCTCAGACAGTCTAGCCCAGCTTGGTTTCGATGTACTTTGACTTACTGCCTAAGCAAGCACGATAAGCAGGTACCATGGTCACACATTACATGACATCAGGTTATTGCCGATCGGCAAGATGACCCTGCAGATCTTTTCAGCTTCTACCTCATTGCTTTAAAGCAGAGAGCTTTTTATTCAATAGGTAACCAGGTGGGGGGAGGCATCAACCCTGTTCTTTTCCATGCAAAGTTTAGAGGTTTGGGCGCCCATATCTGGCAGCAAGGAATGAGTATAATATTGCTAAGTACCAATAGCAATAAAACATTACTTTCTTATTTTGATAGCAAGGTAAGACTGAGGACCTATAGGCCCTGATTTCCAGGGCATCTGTACACAAGTTTAACTGACCATCAAGTACTTTGCTGAACCTGGACTTCAGAAGGCAAGTAAGTGCAGTCAGAGAAACTGTCAGCAATCTAACAAGAGAAATTAGAAAATGCTACAACTCCCCAGCCTGACCTGTCTTCAACTTCAGCCACGAAACCTGAAATCCCTCCCTGCAGTATCTACGACGTTCAAAGGACGGGGACGTTTCTAAATAAGCAGCAGATGTCCAACTTTGTATCAGCTGTTGGATAAACTGACCTGTCCTGAAGTGAGAGGTTGATCTGTGGTCTCCGATAACAAGGCGGCCAGTATGTTCTTTCTAAAAGAAAAGGCAGTTTGTTTTGGAGCTTTAGGGTGTACTGACAGCTCTGCCAACAGTCTGGAAATCTTGAATGGAAAAGGTTTGCTGTCAAACCTCGACAACCAACTGTAAGACTGTAAGTTTTACTAGCTAACAACTGCTGCCTCTTGATGAACTTTGTCTTGTTGAATTTTCTGAAACAGAAATCCTACCAACTGGATACTCTTTACTCTTCCTACACCCCAAAGCTGGCTCTATTTCATTCTGTTTCTTGCCACTGACAGGAAAACTACACTATACAATGCTGGAAAGGCATGAGTTTAGGGTCTGACAATTCACCCTTTGGGTCTCTTTCTCTGGCGCTACTCAACAGTTCAGCCTGCACATCTTACGACCACCCCACTCCTAGACTGGTCACAGTATCAGGCAAGACCTTCACAGTGCTCCCTCACTGACTGGCTCAGAAGCTGCTCATCAGCAAGCGTATCCCTATAGGCAGGAACAGGCATTACATACCAAGCAGCGCTAAGCATCCAAGCAGGCGTTCAGAGTAGCGGTGGGACGATGTTTTAATTAGGGTACTGTATACGCATCCCCTAGGGAGTATTAACTTTCACCTCTTTAATACAGTAAAATATTTTAGCTTACAAAAATACTGTATTCAAGTAAAATAAGCTAGTACAAGTGACATTATTTTTCGTGAAGGTAAGCAGAATTGCAATACTAAACGTTTTGTACGTGGAAACAGCAATATTGTATTTTGCTGACTTTGCAGCATTTTTTTTGCAAAAAACATAGCAGGAATATTGTTTTAGAGAATTTTCTCTTTACAAATATTTACTGGATTAATTAGTTGCATTGTTTTTCTGGTTCAATCTGTCAGCTGCCGTTTTTTTTAAATCTTTGATTCTTTTCCAGCGGGAGAGAGCCGGGCAGACGGACTGCACGCACGGGACGGCTGGCCTCTACCGCGGACCCTCTCCGCAGCGCCAGGGCCGGCGGCACCGGCAGCTGCTCGCGAAGCACGGAGGGAGCCGGCCAGACGGACTGCCCGCCGGGGCCGGCTGGCCTCTACCGCGGACCCTCTCCGCAGCGCCAGGGCCGGCGGCACCGGCAGCTGCTCGCGAAGCACGGAGGCGCGGGGCGGGCAGGAGGCGCGGAGCGGAGGCTCCACAGCCTCACACCGACGTTTTGCGTCACGCCGC